AGATTTGGACTGTGCTAAAGTATGCACTGCTGGTTTTCTCTCTCACTACATAATGCCATGCTTAAATATTCCCTTTGTTTCTTTGCAGGTTTATTTTGGACACCAGTCTAACAGTGGTGATTTACTCGAAATCAAACGCTTCTTTAAGGCTGCGATCTGCGATTTTCTTCCTTCCTGGTTATTAGAAACTATGTATTTCTAGGGTACTGGTTCTGATCTAGGACGTTTGAGAATATTGACATGCCTATGTTCAGACTTGGGAATATTTGGCTTCTTAGAATGAGTTGTTCAGAATATTGAGGATATCTAGAATATTTAGGGAATATTTGGAAGATATTTAATTTCTTAAAATGAGATATTTAGGAGTTCCTAAATTGGATATTTAGGATCTATGGCATATTCACAAAATATTCTCGCCTGAACTATATTTTACGTCTGGATTATGGCCCATAGTGTTCTATGGTGTACTGGGATAGTGTACTCCAGGGTTTTAGAATTCAATAAAGGAAAGAGGGGGAGCGTGGGGGGGGGGGGGGGGGGGAATGCGGCCAACAACTGGGCATGAGGGTCAGATTTCCAGGCTCTTTTCTTTTTTATTCATTTTCTTTTGTATATCAATATTTGTCTTTATTTTCTTTGTTTTTCATATTTGATTCCTTTATTTTGTTATTCCTATTTTCCTTTCAATTTTTCTGATTCGTTTTTTAATTTTATAAAAATTTAAGCTGGCTTAACCGTAATAGGTATTTTTGATTGATTTCTTTATAGATTTAAATTATAGAACCCATCTTTTCTAACTTTCCATATATTAAGTTTAGACATGAACTCAGATAGGTCAGACTTTAATTAGTCTGGTCAGTCTTAGAGTAGCGTATAAATATCTTCAAAACATTTGGCATATGATTCCTATTGAAAACTTTCTAGCTTATATTCAAAATAATTCTTGGCTTTGAATTGACTAGATCTTTTAGGAATTCCTTCAAGAAAATGGTCTATACTGGTAATGAATATATCTTCAACCGTATATCTTCTCTTTTTTTTTTTCCAAAAGAACAAAATTGTTGGAGTATCTGCATGGTATTTGTCTTTTGGATTTTGGTGGAAACAGATGAAAACTTAAAAAAAAAGGATGACTTTTATTCACATGAAGACACCAAATTCCCACGACGATTTCACAAATCCGATTGATAGACTTAACAATGACAGATAAAGGCACAAGGAGAACCATGGAATGGACCTGAGGCAATAATACCTGAAGAGGGGAGAAGGAGGACATAGATTATTTTTTATGGATTTTTTATAATAAATAAATAATAAGGAAGAGAGAAACAGGCAGGTGGATTCTATTTTTCTTTTTATTTATTTTTGTTTTTCTCTCTTCATTTTTTTTTAGTAGTTTCCCCGTCTATAGTGTCGGCTTCCACGGGCGCCACATGGTAGCCGCATAGCCTCTTATTCATATATGATAGAACTTTCATGCTTCAAACATGGAAGTTTACTATTTGGTGGAACTTGGCTCTCCCATTATCCAAAAGTTCCCCAAACAAATACGCCCTAAAGAAGGCGGTACGTTTGTTTGGTAGAAAAACCTTGCAAGCTCTTAGGCTCAATGGGCATGTTAATTTGGTGGAAGAACCTTACAAATTCTTTGGCGGAAGAGCCTTCCATACTTTTTGGAGACGGTGGCCCTTCTATAACCCCATGGTGCCAAAAGCTTTGGAAGTTTTGGTTTCCGAAACCAAACCTTCTGCCAAGACAAAAATGCCCTAAAACACATGTTGAAATAACTGAAATATCGTGGAAATCTGCCACACTTTTGAGTAAATTTAAGCTACTTTTGTATGACTCATGGCCAATCAGTCCTAAACTTTCATCTCTTCCGGTGAATGTGAGCTGACATGCTACATTTCATCATTTCCAAGGATCGAAAAGTTTAGAGTACACAAGGAGTGCATGGTAATATGGTAAGCACAAGGACATCCACCATCTCTTCCTGATCACGAACCCCGTAGATCAATTGCATGAGCAAAAAAGTCGTCACAAGAAAATCTTTGGTTGGGCTCCACCGTAGGTCATTGAATCTGACGGTGGATGTCAATGAAATTTGTTGCACCCATAACGATTAGAAACCATGCATCGGTTGCATTCTTTTAACAAGGGAACTCTTCAAGAGAAAACCCTTCTTATTGTATTCCTGTAAATAAATAAAAAAGCAACACCAATTAAATAATTGGGCTGAAAGCAAGGTGTGAGGTGGGTAACCCTTCTTTTTGTTAGGCTAAAAAAGAAGGCAAGAGAAGAGAGAGTGGAAAAGGAGCAACATACCCCTTTCTCTCATTCTTTTAATTATTGTGTGTGGTTAGCACAAGCTTTACCTTTTCAAATGTACAAGTAGATTTTCTGTTTTTCAAAAAGTGCGGTTTTGGTATCAAGAAATCTTCAATAGGCCTCGAAATCTACTTTCATCTTTGTTTATAAACTTTCTAACCTTAATTATAAAATTTAAAATTAAACAAATAGTGTATATCTATCAAGTCTATAAAACACTTGAAAATAGACAGTCTAGATAATTTGTTACAAGATATATAAGCTTTTTGAATCGAATCCATACCTGTCAAGGTTTTGATTCTTAATTTGAGTGGCGTGTTGTAGGAATTAACTTTTTATTATAAATCGTAGATCTTATGCAAAATTTTTCCTTAATTAATTTATTAAGATACGTTTTCTTTGGCTTTTAATATATCAAGATACCCTTTCGACCCATTCCCCACCCACGTGCTCTCTCTCTCTCTCTTTCTATTTTAGTAAAGGTTGTCCACTCTCTCCCTATAGAGGCATCTAATGGTGAAGGCTGAGCCGTTCCCACGTGCTCACACACCCTTCCATCTTCACACCTTTAGCAATGCCCGTGCTCGACTCACTCCTTGTCTAGAGCTTGTAATTAGGGATCCTTATCTATATATAGAAACCTTTAGCTATGGCATATTGATCCTCTTTCAAGACGGATGTGTCCTATATTTAGCAAGCTTATTTAAGTTGGCCCAACTCCCAACTTATCTCTTTTTTCATATCGGTTGATTTTTCTGATAAAACTAACCAGTTTTTTGATATCACGGGGATGAAATTTAGACCAATTTTTTGAATTAGCGACCCGAGTCATTGATCCAATCATGTTGCATAAGACACCATAGCATCCAAAATTCAAATAGTGAAACCCCTAATATTGGCACTTAGAATGCTACAATTTTGATTCACATGGATAGATGGCCATTGCATTAACGGTCCGGATCGATCCCACCAAAACTTAGGAGGAAGAGATTGAAGCTTGCTGAAAAATTGGGGGAATCTTAATCGTCGACGTCTTAGTCCCACCCATGAAAAGCGAGTGGACAGAAGGCCGGGAAGCCCGAAACAAATCTTGGAGAGATGATTTTCCGTAGTGAGCCTGCGCCACGTGGGAATCACAATGACAGGGTCCGACACATGGGATTACGTTATAGGTCCAGCGTGTCTTAACTCCGTGTCGGGAACCTTCAATCCAAACCTGCCACGTCACGAAAGCCGTTTTTTAGGTATAACACGGTAAGGTCAACCTCACGTAACGTGCTCATTAAAAAGCTATATTTCCGTTTTGTCTATTTTTATTTCTTCGTCTTTTTATTTTGGGTGTATAGAGCCTAGGCTCTAAACAATCAAAGTAGAGCCCACCTTCAAATGGTGTCAAAAATGTTGTTTCAATACTGAAAATCTTTATGCTAGTCTTAAAATATATTTTCATCGTTAAATATAAAATTGAAAGCTTAAAAATAGTGTAGATTGAGAAGATATATGAAAACTTGAAAATCTAAAAAATTGATGGTCCACAAATGTGTTACAAGATACACTATTTTCCAAAACTTGAAATCCATTTTTTAATCATGTCTATGCATCTTGATGTCGAGATGATCAATTTGATGATATTCGGGCATCAAAACAATGTCTTCAAGTGAAAGTTTTGAGGTGGGCTCTAATTTGATTCTTTAGAGCCTTGACTCTATATAAACTTTTTTCCTTTTATTTTTGGGGAGTCTTGAAGAGAATAAATGTCACAAAATACAAATTTTTTTCCGGGAGTCTTCAAAGGAAAAAGTTTATAATAGAGCCGAGGCTCTAAACAATCAAATTAGAGCGCACCTTTTAATAATTTCACTAGAAGAGGTTATTTTGATGCCTGATATATTCAAATTGATCATCTCGATATCAAGATGTATGGACGTGAGAAAATAAAATAGATTTCAAGTTTTAAAAAAAATGTATCTTGTAATGTATTTTTGAACAGTCAATTTTCAAGATTTTCAAGTATTCATAGATATGCTCAATCTACACTATTTTTGAAGCTTTAAATTTTATAATTAGAGATGAAAATATATTTCAAGGTTGTAACAAAGATTTCAAATATTGAAACCAATTTTTCAATACTATTTGAAAGTGTGCTTTGTTTTGATTGTTTAGTGTCTCGTCTTTATACAAACTGCACCTCACTTAAAAACAGATAACAAATGGAAAAAGAAAATCAATTTCAAGCGCCGCAATGGGCCGGGTACGCCCTTGTCCCTTAGGGCCAGCCCAAGCCTGGCCCTATCCTACATGACTAGGGCCGAGCCGGCTTAGGCTGGAAAAAAAATAAATAAAGAAAAGGACGGGCCCGGCACTAAGCCTAGCCTGGTCCTTGGGCCACAGTTTATGGCCTAGGCCAAATTTTTTAGGGCCAGGGAGTTGCTGGGCCGTGGGCGTGAAACAGTATGATTTCTTTGATAATTATTGGGCTAAAAGTCCTTGGATACGTTCGTCAATTTAGAGAGAATGTATGGACATTGTGGTAGACTTTCCTCGACAATTTTTAGGTTAGGGCATACGGAGGTTAAAAAGGTGCCTTGTGATCATCGCTTCAAAATGGGTGTGGGTGGGGTTGGGTTGGGTTTTGGAAGTTCCGTGAGGACAACAAAGACTTGGGAGATTCATTCACTCAAACTTCAAGAGAAAATAAAGTTCAGAGAGAGAAACAAAGTTTAGAGAGAGAAACTGTGAGAGGAGATGGGAGAGAGACCGGCAGATGAAGAAACAATGACAGAAAGATAAGACCCATGGTTAACTAAGAAGGAAGACAGACCCCCACTTCAACCTAGAGAGAGAGATCAATCAAACTATGGTATGGGTTTAAAGTCTGAACTGTTTTACCTCTTTTTTCTATCTCTAAGCATATTCTGAATATCGGGTTCTGTTATCTTTAGGTGAGAATGTAATGGCGTTTGATTTTTCTTGGTGATTTTAAGGAGGTGCAGACGGTGATGGCACGGCCGCCATGGCTGAAACCTCTTTTAGGAACCAGCTTCTTTCGCCAATGCAAGTCACATGGCGATTCAAACAAGAACGAATGCAACATGTTCTGTTTGGATTGCATCAGTGACGCCCTATGCTCCTCCTGTCTCCTTGTCCACCGCCATCATCGCATCATTCAGGTCCCCTTTCTTTTTCTAGAATCTCTGCAATCGGTCATTCTGTTTCTCAATCCGGTCTCATTAAATCTCTGCAATCGGTCGTTCTCTCTCTCTAGACTCATTTTGTTTCGGTTTGTAGAACAGATAAGGAGATCGTCATACCATGATGTGATCAGGGTGTCGGAGATCCAGAAAGTGCTGGACATTGGTGGGGTGCAGACATATGTAATAAATGGTGCTAAGGTTGTGTTTTTAAACCATAGGCCTCAGCCCCGCCCAGGGAAAGGGGTCACATATGCCTGTGAGATTTGTGATAGAAGCCTCCAAGACCCTGCCCGATTCTGCTCCTTAGGCTGCAAGGCAAGCTAACAAATCTCTCTCACACATTTGGATTGCAAAACCGATTGATTTTTCTTTTTGGTTCAATGGTTCTATCTTATCAGTGATTCTTTCTCTTTCTCTCTCCTCTTCAGATGGCTGGAATGACGAGTAATAGAAAATCCAGTGAAGACACTCACATTGCATCATCACAATGCATGGCACCCCAAACACCACCATCTTCTTGCAGGACCAGGCGAAGAAGAAAGGGAATCCCCCAGAGGTCACCCATGGGAAGCTGCTAATATTAGCTTAATTCGTCCCAAAAAATTGAAGTCCGAAAAAACAATCATCATTTTAGCCTTTTTCCAATTAATTCGATCAGCATTCGGAAGAAACAATAATAAATTCAAATTGAATTAAGTTTCGCCTTTAAGCTCATAATTTGGGTTTTGATTTGCGGTTTGCAAAGAGGAAAAGGGCCCATTTGTTTTTAGCTCTGTGGCTTTTAGAGAGAGAATCCACAAGGTTTGTAAAACCCTTTGAAGGGAGGAATAGCAGGGCAGAGAGAGTGACTTGTGAATAATACATGTTACTGCTTTCTTCAGGTTAACTCAAATACATGTTAACTGTTACAAAGACATATATACATAACAAGTTCCATGAAACAGAAAGAGAGATAATCTCCTCTATGGTTGCGTACTGTATTAAACGAGGTCAAATGCAAGTACAAGGAAAGGTCTTTTGAGCCCCATCTCTTTGTTTTGCACGTGTAGATAGTTTGGTACACCTCCAACTTGGCACGTGAGTTCTATTTACATGAACAGGTCCCTGCATATAAGAGGGTACATGCACTCTCCAACGGATAGCTTTTTTGGTAATTGATGGCTAGGGGTGGCAATGCACATGGACCTAACCAGGGACTTGGCAGATATCTTCGACATGGGTATGGTTCCAATATTTGGGCCCGCAGGTTGGGTCGGGATCCAAAACTTGGACTCGAACATTATTCGAGTCTGGTTTCGGGTCCGGTTGGACCGACCCGCATCCCACCCATAACCGTAAATTGTTGGGGATAAAATACTTTAAGCCCTAATCGTTTGGGTATATTAAGGGTCATATACAAGAAGAATTCGAAGTCATCTTTAGCTATTTGCCAATAATATGCAGTATATGATAGAAAAAAAAAGGAAAAAAAAATCAAAAACTCATAGTGGTGGTGGCAATGGACCTAACCAGGCTCGAGACCAAGACCCGACAGGTACGGGTATGGGTCCAACTTGTGGACCCGATGGTTGGGGTCCGGGTCCAAAACCTAAGCCCAAATACATTCAGGTATGGTTCCAGGTCCAACCGGACCCGATCCATTGCCACCCTTATTCAGGGGTGGCTCCATATTTCTACAAAGGGTGTGGTTGTATAGGGCCGAGGCTCTAAACCATCAAAGTAAGGAATGCCTTTAAATAGTGTCTAAAGACGTTTTACTACTAGACATCTTTGTGATGACCTAAAAATCATTTTTCTTCTCTAATTATAAAATTTAAAGCTTAAAAAATAATGTAGATTGAACAGATCTATGAACACTTGAAAATCTTAAAAACTGACAGTCTGCATTACAAGATGCTCTATTTTCAAGACTTGAAAAAAAAAAAAATAAATAAAAAAAAAAAAAATAAATAATAATATAATATATATATATATATATAATATATATATATATATATATATATAGTAGTTAGTAGTATAACTAACTACTACTACTATAGTTAGTTAGTAGTACGTAGTATTATTATTAGTTAGTAGTTACTACTACTTACTT